CCCCAGCTGCTTCACATTAGCATGAATCCCTGCCATATTCCATCATTTCCATTATGCCCTAAGATATAAGTAAAGAACATGAGCTCCATTTGTTTCTCTCCAAGTCTCCCCATCTGCTTTTTTTTTAAAATAGAATAGAGTTGGCAAGTTTACATCCCTTCCCTTTTCCAAATACACATTATCTCTGTGAAACAGGTGGCAGCAGTCTCTCCTTTACATGTAAATGAATCTTGATGGCCATATTTACGACTATCCATATCTGCATAGGCCTGGAGTTGTGAATGTTTCACTACTGCAGACAAATTAAAACAAACCAGTATTTTTTGAGAATGAGCAAAATAATAAAATATGCTGCGTTTTAATAACATATTAAAAACAGTCTCACTTTTAAAACTTTCAAATGTAATCAACCAAAGACTAAATAGGACGTATGTTTACACGCTAGCATACAAGAAGATTTAACAATTGAACATGAAATTAAGACAGAGTTTCATCCAAGTGCAGAGATGATCTCACCTAACACTTCAAATCATAAATGTGTTGTTGGAGCAACTGCCCTAAATTCCTTATTAACATGTAAACTCTTAAAACTGCAAAGCTCATTACGTGAAAGCAAACTCTTGAACCAAACCAGCCCATTCACAAAGCTTGCTCTTTTTTTAAAATGACTGAAAGCATTTACAGCAATTCAGAAACACCAGTAATCCTAAACCAACAGTTATTCCGTAACTGCTCCCAAAGCCTTGCAATTAAAAAACTCAAAATTGGTAGATTAAAACAGAAGGCCTGAATAAGACTTAAGGCAAGCTTTAATATAGTTACTAAAACAGAAATGTGTTTGAGAAGAGGAAGAATTAGTGTCAGCAGTTCCCATATTTTTGTTCTTCACCCAGCTATCTGATAAGACTATCTTTAGTCTCATGCTCCCATGCCTCATTTTAGTCTTGCAAAAAAATAAAAATTCCTTCTTACAACATCGGTGACTTTCTTATTTGTACACACATCAGGTTTTAATTTCATTGCAGTGTCAAGATGAATACCGAGAACAGAGAGAATGAATTTTTTTTTGAAGCAAATATTTTGCAACAAAACCCAAAGATTAAAGTCTGCTTTTTTTATAGGAAGATATTTTCTGTCCCCATTTTCACTCAAGTTTCTTCCTATATTAGAGGAAATGACAATAACCTTCACTGACAGTTCTACGGGGACTGACATAGATACTGCCATCATTTGCTGGACAGGAGGCTTACTGCAGTATACTTGGGTAAATCTTACCCCAGTGATCTGTCCTCCGGCCAGCATGAGCTGGGTCTGGGGTATGGCCGCCTGCACTGAAGGCTGCTGGGAAGGCTGGCTTGGCTGCTGAGAGTCCCCAGATTCTTCATTAGATTTAGACTAGTCAGAAAAAAAAACACCAACTCTTTATAGTGTAAAACAGATGTTAATGTATAACACTGCTATCTCAACACTGCACAATAAAAATATTTCATCTGCATACAAAAAGCCCTTGGGTTTACTTTAAGAGTGTGTTTAAGCAATGGCTGTATGTGCCCACCATCTCAGCTATGATTGCTCAAACATGTCTGTAGGTAATGCAGTTTAAACAAAACAAAAAGACTGTCAGGTCTCTGGTAACTCTTTGACATTGTTTTCAGGTCTCATTTCATTTTACACAACGCAACTGAAGCTGACACTATCTTTCGCCATAAAGAAAGAAAACGTTGTTAAACTTATTCATTGCCTAAAATCCTGAACAATGGAACAAGGGAAAGCAGATTGTGTTTCCATTTTCTATATCTGCATCCTGCACCTCTTAAGTCATCACACTGTTGGCTTATATGGAACTGGTTTGAGAAATCCTTACAGGTTTATCTACCTACAGCAAAATACATAATATATACGCTGCTTTTAAATAATCAAGTTTAGCATTTATTTGATTGAATGCTGCTTTATTTTAAAGATTCGGGATTGTTGTTGTTTTTGTTTTAAACAGAAGAAATAGTGAAGACATGAGGGAGGAAATGCAAGTGCATGAATAGGGGGTGAGAGTTTTATGATAATTAAAACTAGTTATGCAGAACATTAAAATTCTGCATAGATTTGCATATTTTCCACCACCTGTTTTGGGGACTGCAGAGCAGGCTAATTAACATAAAGGCTCTGATTAATTCTGCCAGTCATTGAGCGATAATTACAGTGCAGGACTGTAAACATTCTGCACTGGAGATACAGCCTGTTTGCCAACATCTCTCTCAGGGATGGAAGTTTACCATGGCAACCAAGACAATTTTCTGCCTCCTTCTTCTTAGAAAGGAAGGTCACCATACCTTCTCTTCTTTCCAAATTGTTATTATGTATAAGTGGGTCCACATTCTATTGCATTTCATGTAATGCACTACCTACATTCTTTAATAACAAGCAATAGTGAAACCCGTTTTCAATAAAACTGCATCCCTTGCCCCTTAATATAGTACTGAGAGGGAAGTGGCACGTTAACTGATATACTGAAGTGTTCAGCATCATAAAAAAGTTTGAAAGCTTTGTTGTCTCATGCACATTATTAAACAACAATTACTGACTTATTTTGAAATCATTATGTGTTACCTTACAGAAGCAATCTACACTAGCCGCATTACATAGTTCACATTACATTATGCTCCTATACTCAGCTACCAGAAGTAAGGACAAATTGCAAAGTGATACTTGCTATGTTTAAAATAAGTGAGTAAATGGAAGAACATGAAATATTCCTAGGGTTTTATAGTTTTCACGATACAACACCTGACTGAAATTCAGTATAAAGTTACAATCACTGCATGTTTTAAACAACTCCAGTTTCTGAATGCTTACAGTTCTGAACCTTATTTACAGCTGTAAAACTGTTATTCCTTCATAGCTATCACTTGCAAGACCAGTCAGAATGGCAAAGCAGAGTAACACATCATAGGTTAAAAACCATCTCTAATGGGACCATAACGCTGTTTGGAATGAGAGAAGGACAAGCAGCAGAAGGAAACTGTCTTTACCTGTACATTTAAGGACTGAGCAGCAGCCTGTAAACTTGTTCCAGCGAGCTGGACCTACAACACAGTGCAAAAATTGAAATGAAATAATACAGAACCCACAGAAAACTTCAACAACGTAAAAAGAACCACCTCCCCACCTGCACCCCAACAAAAACTCCCCCAAGAACAATGCATGTCCCACTAACACCTGAAACAGTAAAACAGGGGTTGTGCTTCAGGCTGAAAAAAATCTGCAAGACTCTTCCACAGTGTTATTTGTCTATCTCTCACTGAACATATTCCTGCCTAGGGATCTACATATTATCATGAAATTGAGTTGAAGCAGAGTATTTTTGGGTATACAGGCTCACTGTTCCTATTCCTGTTAGAAAAAATCCAGGCTTCAAGGGAGGCCGTTAAGCTCTATTCATCATCATCCTTTAATATTTCAGAATGGGTCTTAACCCCAAATATGTACACTGCATTCACCCACTTCCTTATACAACACAGGAGCAATCACCTGCATAGCACAAAACTCACAGTATAAACACTCTTCCTCAAATCAACCCATTCAAGTATTTGCAGTCCTCAGCCACCGAAAAGATCTCTATAGAGAGGACCTGAGATACTTTACAACAGCTGTATTGATTCAGGTATGCTCAAAACTTGAATTCAATGTTTGTGATTAACAAGTCCAAAGAAGTTCTTGTGGGTTAGCAATGAAGAAAAACTGATGCTTCAGAAAGTGAGATTTTTAAAGACTGTTATTTTCTCTCTAATAAGGATCTTCTCTGTACAACAAATGCTGAATTTTCATTTATTGAAGACAGTTTTAATCAGTCTCACCTTGTTTCTACCACCACTCCTACTACGAAGAAGGAATGCTATGTAATTAATTACCAACACTTTCAAAGGTCAGAGTTACAGCCTGCAGTGAATTCTATCTCTGGCCATGTTTGAAAACCACTGCTCATTTGAAAACCAGGCAACACATAAGGATACGATAAAGCAAAGCAAAAGGTAGCACTCTTGCCTCTGTATAAAGTTGTCCCCATATAATATACATCGTAAAAGAGAGCCCACATATCTGCAAGCACAGGAAGGAAAGTTTTAATTTAAATTGCAGCACATGAAATTAAAAACTGAATATTCGAACAGACAACCCTTAAGAGTCACCTTGGAAATATTTCCTACCACTCTAGAAGGTACTAGACTTACTAAGCACGTTCTACATCTAAGCAAACACTCTCAGAAAAGCTCTTCCTCATCACAAGCAAAATACAGTTTGACAGAGTTGATGTAATCTGAGCTTTTAACGTGAATTAACAGCAGAGAATAATCTAAATGATAACAGCCTACCATCCAAAAAATATACTCTGAAATAATACTTTAAAAATTACATACTAATTTAAAAGACCCACATAAAAGACTACCAATGTATCTCACTCAGGTACAGCCAGCATGTTCCGGAAAAACTCTTTGAATACAATCTGGACACCACCTCCACCACACAACAAACCATTTCTAATTAGAAATTAAACTGTTCCTGAATGTTGCCTACAGTCAAAAATTTTGTATTAGTCTGGAGGAAAGCACCATGTATTAAGGCTGAATAACATCCCACTAACAGCAGTCACACTAGAAGAGGACAGTTTGACAATAGATTCCTACACACCTGCAGGTGCATAACAGAATACCTGAGATTTTCCTTTTGAGCTACAGTTTCAAGAAGTGAATCACACTTTATCAAACATGAAGCTATACAGATCCTGACAACTGTTTAAATAAATACATTTCCAAAGCAAGATAAAGTGCTGTACTAAATACAATTACTGTCCTGGATCAATCTAGATAACAAAACGAAGACTAAAATAAACACACAAAATTCTGTAGAACAGCTGTATCTGCCTCCATGTTAAACACATACTGACAACCCATGAAAACCAGTCAGCTTCTCTCTGCATAAAGGCAACCTACAACAGCCTATTGGTTCAGCAAATTCAAACACTGACACTCCCTAGGTCCTATATAACCCAATCTACTAGGAAAGTTGTAATTATGTGACAAGACATGTAGAATGTTCCATACAATAAAACGGCAGTTCAGAGCTCTTAAAAGAGGGCACAAAAGCTTCAACATGTCAATTATACCACCATAATCGTGCAACCGCAGACCTCAAACATTCAAGGTCAGCCAATTAGGTACAGTATTTTAAAGTTTAAACTCTGTGCTGAGGAAGCAAAGAAATTAGGACATTTGTTTTCGTACACCAAGTGCGAACAGATAAAAAACCACAAAAAATGCCCCTTATACTTCTCTTCACCTAGGGATGCCCCATTCTGCTTCAGCCTACATCTGAAGTTCAGCTTTGATTCCCTAAACACAGCAGTGGCAGAACAGAGGGACAGCAGTAGAAGCCTGAACATCTGAAAAACAGGTCCTTGAAATAACTTTTTAAAAAAAAACACCTCACAAACCATATAAGCTTAGTAAGTATAATCACTTTGTATTTCTAGTTAATGTGTAAGAGCTTGAAAGACTGAAGCATAGTGCTGACTACCATTCAACACCACTTGTTTCTTAACTAGGTAGTGACAGTTTCAGAACCTTGGCAGCTGTTGGGCCAATACAAACCTTTAACAAAAAGATTAGATTTTACCTTGCCTTTCAATTTAGTTTCTCCATTGAGGTTTAAAAAAATACCTTTAGGCACTCTTAAATCTCTAAAAAGGGACTTTAATTCCCCCAAATAGGTCTCACCCTATCTTGATGTATTCTGCAGCCTACTGCAAGGAAGTGAGTGCCACAACAAGAACTTTTTCCCATCCAGGCTGTTTAAGCATGTGGTCTACCCTTATGTTCCATTACATGACTACCCATCATTCACAGAAAAAGACAACATAGAACGTACAAGAGCAGCTCTGTTCGTACCTGCCTGAGTCTCCCCTGCTTTGAAATGGGTCTTCTCTTACCTGATGAAGGTGCCCAAAGAAGGCCTGGGCCTGGGCTGTAGAGATTGCTCCTCCGACAGGCACAGGCTGCTTTTGAAAGTCCAGGCCATTTGTTTGCGTGCCTAGAGAAAGACAGATATTAAGAACTATTAGTTATTACTTTTATGAGATGGAATAAGAATCAGTACACCTAAGTCTCCTGCCATCCTCTCAATACTATGTAGTAGAAAAATAACTCTGAGAATAACAAGAATTTAAGTTTTTACTGAAGGGAGGGAGGGGAAGCAGTGTCACTTCCAGACTTGTGTAATACAGCATTTGTCAGCTGAACAAAATCAACATCCTATTTTCTTTAGCGTCTATCATCTTACCTATTCTGTGTATACTGTTAGCCCAGCATTCTGTACCATGGTTTGAGAAACAAACGGGTATATGCTGCTAAGGTTAAACTGTGTTTCCATTCTCCGTGCACTCTCTATCCATCAGCTGAAGACTATCTTCAAGTTCAGAAAGTGGCAAGAACAAGGTTCATATAAAGTCACCTTTCATTAACGACAGGTAAAATAATACTTGATGCAAACAGAAGCACTGCAGATGCCACAGCAGTTACAGGCCACAGTTTTACTCCTTTGACAAAAGATACCTCCACATTTCCATTAATATTTGTGCAAAGCTCTTATATAATAACTGCCTGCACTTGCTTTTGTTCTCACCTCATATAACTAAAACCTGATTATTTTCGTACATTTTTGTTGTCTTCTTCCTAAACAGCTCAGAAGACGAGGAGACTCTGAGTGTATCAGGCTGCGTGGAATTTCTAGAACACATGATGCAATTTTTAAAATTGGGTGACTGAAATGAAGTAAAATCAGCTTTAAACTTGCATGTTTACTCTTCATGGTAACCAGATATTCAATTAACTCCTACTTCAAAACTCCTTCCATCATCTACATTTTTCACCAGAAAAATCTCGGCTATCTACTGAATAAAAGAAAGTCACAGTTGTTAAACAACAACAGGGGTTGGCTATTCCTTAGAAACATCTGCAAAAGCAAGCAGGTGTAAAATTTTATTAGTAAAACACACTATCCAATATTTTACATTGCTATTTTGACCTACAAACAGCTTACACGGATAAAATTTCCAAAGATGGAGTCCCTGTTCAATTAAATACAGATACAATGTAGATAGTCAAGCTTTCTAGCACCCATGTAACATATACTTAAGGTGGCCCTTTGATGCATCTTTGGTGGAGGTGCTGTGGGGGAAGAGTTGGCCTACACTTCAAGTTTTTAATTCTATGCTTTGGGCCACAGACTTAAGATACATATATGCAACCAAAGATCCGCAGACATATTAAAAATATTCAAATTTTAAATTACGTAAAATTGTTTTGCTTAATGAGTCTAAAATTCCAATCCAAAGCAAATGGAAGGACTATCACTATTCTGATTTGATCTTGAATGAATGCAACTTGATTGCATTTCTCCAAAGAAAGGTAGATAAGAAGGTCTGCTGAAAAGAGCTAGAAGAATCTCATCTATTTTCATTCTTTCCAGTAAACTGGAGAATTCTCTCAATGCAAAAAGCCAAAGGGAGTGGGAAGATGATTGGGTAAATACATAAAAATAATTCCTGACAAACAGCTACTGTAATTCAGAGGAAACAATCTACCACCTCCTCATTTAAGCAGATGCTTTGAATCAGTTTTCAACCTGTACTCAGGGACCACCAAGTAAGAAAAAAAACACAGACAAGAAAACCTACTATATTCCTCATCCCAACTGGTAACTCGCAGGGGTCAAAAAAATTAAAATTATCCATTTCTGAGAGGACTAGCTGGAAGCCTCACCTTAAATAGATGAAACTGTTCTAGCAAAAAGAGCCTCAAATCACAACACCATATTAAAAGAGCACTGCTGTACATGTGTGCAGAAGAAATGCTCCAGTTAGCGCTTCTGCTGACTCTTAACATGGAAATTTGAAACAAGCCCTCTAGGGTTAATAGTTTTGAACAAAGCAAGTTCCAAGACCAAGCTTAAAATCTCAATGGGTCCCAAAAAACCAGTTTAAACAGATACTGAGAGAAAACAACATTTTCTTTAAGTTCAGCCTTGAAGGACTACAGTTTAAACAGATACTGAGAGAAAACATTTTCTTTAAGTTCAGCCTTGAAGGACTCCAACTGCCTCACCCCACGCCTCCCAAAACCAAACTGGGAGCAAAAAAACCCAAACCACACCTGTTCACTCTCCATTCTACTTGCATCTTAAGCTTTCTTTTGTATTTGGAAGTACAGTGTCGCTTCCCCTTTGGATGCAGCTTTAGTTTTGGAAGGAATGCTACCCAGATTGCTTGCATGTATCACAGGATGCCCATGTCTTTTGAAGAACAGCAGGGAAAATGAACTTTTGAGTCTACCATATGAAAGGCCCTGCTCTTAAGATGCTCATAATGATGTGACACCACTCCTGTGGAATCCAAGAAATCTGATGAGACTGGAATATGGAGCTGTCACAAGCAGAGGGTCCGCACATTGTAAGGACACGAAATAACCAGAACACCGCTTTTGCTCAAGGTTAGAGTTGAATGCAAAACCCCATGGTGATTAATAGACATGACAGATGCAATCACAGATTGCAATTTTAACAATCCCAAGTATTTATGTCTTTTCCACCTCCATCCCAGCTCCCATAACTGCTAGAGATGATCTAACAGCTCACCAACACCAAAAAACCAGGAGTGGGAACTCTCCATCTCCCCTTTCTTCTTGGTTCCAACTTCTCCCTGTCCTACCCCTTCTGGTAGTTCATGAACACAGCAGTAAGCCAATTCACCTTTCTGAGTAGAAAACTACTCATGTGAACTGTTCCCTTTTTCTTTCGGCCAAGTTAGTTTTCTGCTGGTTATGTGAGATGAATTAATTTACCTCGGGGCCCAGCAAGCAGCAGATAATGCAAAGAAGGGGAGGTCAGAGACGTGGCAGTAGGGAAATGAGCCTCCCCCAGCCCCAGCAAGTTGTTAAGACAGAATCAAGCTGTAGGATGAAATTTCACCCTTATAGCCCAAGTCCAATGCAACTTTAGCACATTTAGATTCTGGCATAAATTCAGCCATGTGGTACTAAGTTCAATTTTCAGTCAAATCAAATCTTTGAACCATCTCACTCAGTGCCACTCCAGGGAAAGGAACAGAACACTAAGTACCAGGACACCCTGAACATGGATTAGCTTATGTTGTCTTGGGATTGTACCTGCAGAGGGTAGAGGCATAATAAAATGGAGCAGAAAAGGTAACACTGCACCTGCAGTCAGGAGAAGAACATACTCTCAAAATCCAAGATCATAATCAGACTGCAGCTTACAATCTGCATAAGAACAGAGGAGGAGTGAGGAACTACAGGTCTAGGGAGATGTGGAGCAAGGTGCGAGAAAGGCCTTGGGAAGGGAAGGCAAACAAGGAGAAGGAAGATTTCAAAACTAACTTGAGTGGGTATCTGCACTGTGCTCCAGCAGACATCTTCCAGCACCAGCAGTACATTTTCTCATCTCTCTCCCTCTGCTTGTGTGCATTAAGAGAGACAGATATCCCCAATACTCAGAAATTGTTGATTCCTTGACCACATTACTAATAAGAAGTAATTTATATTTGCCCAAAATTTTAGCAGTTAAAGACTATTTCATGGTCCCTCTCCCACTCTGCTTTAGACTTTGCCCTTACGGAAACTGGAAAAACTCCCCACTCTCCTAGAGACTTTCATCTTACGGAAACTGGAAAATCAGTCTCTGGAAATGAAGCAACGCAAACAAGAATCGTTAGAATCCTTCCAAGTACCACACTTATAAAAATTATTATTTTGCTGCTGTGTCAATGCATGTCGTAATACTACAGCTTCCACGGACATTATAACCTTTCATAGTACTGCATGCACACAGCTTTTAAAAAAGAATATGCATTACACAAACAAACAAAAAAGGCTGAGTTGTTTTGGAAAATTTTATGCTGCAACCTATAAAAAGGAAACCAAAAGAGCTATCCCATTTACTATAAGACACTCTTCTTACTGCTCTCTCTTCTTTCCAGTAGTTACTAAGTAGACTGTCCACCCACAATTGAAGATTGGAAAAGATTTGTGTAATTCTGCAATACTGACAACCAGTTGATCAATTCATGTTCTTGTGAAAACAGCCATCCAACAGCTCTTGCACTTATAAAGACTTTCGTTGTTGTTTTTAGTTTTTCTGAAATGGGGGTTGCTTTTTCAGGTGCTTAACAGGGGAGGTCCAGTCAGCACACAAAAATTTTAAAGTTAAAAAGCTGTTTCAGGCACTTTATTGTGACCAATGTATTCAGGGGACTTTACTATGTTCCCTAAATAGTCAGTTACAAATACAAACCCCTAATTTGTTAGCTTCCATGAAACTTAGCTGTTAGTTCAGAGAACTACTTATGTTAAGTCACTTTTACCAGTGGCAACCGTATTTTTTTTCCTGAGAGCACCAGCTCTGCCAAATGTAAATTCCATGCCCGACAGTAATTTCTCTTCAAATTTTCAAGTTGCATCAGCTTACTACAGTTTAAAACAGGAATGACACAAACAAACATCCACTGAGGTTTTAAAAGGTAGACTAGTACTGCTTATACCGCAGACTCAAGAGATTTACAAATGTCACTGGAAAACAGTTACAGAAAGTTACAAAAATAAGAAATCTGTTTAGAAAAATCATCTTCATGTGTTTTGCTTCAGAGCCTATGCTCCCCAGACAACCAACAGCACTTCCCGTTCCTTAGCATCCAAGCTGAAAGCCGACTGCTTTTCACTAAGTATGCACGGAGCCCAGAACCATAATCTAAGCACCCCAATCAGAAGACTAAAATTACATTCTGTGAGTCTTCCTTTCGGGGTTTAACATCTGCCAGTTGACTAATACGACTGATGCCTGAGCCCCCAAAGAAGGTCACAAATGCCATTAATCACCACCTCCAGTGGTTTATGAGCACTATATTTAAAAACAAAACCATGATTGCACAACAAAGCGTCCTCAACAACTCTAGATTTAGCTTGCATAATTTAAGAAGTCAGGAAACAAAACTGAAAGAAATGACTTCAAACATTTGAATTACAGAAGCAATGTTTGCAAAAAGTCCAAACACCAGTAAGAGTCAAACTTTTGTAATAACTAACCTTAGTATTAGAGTATAAAAAAAATACAGACATTGTATCCCCTTTTGTGATGAAAGCACCTGCACACAGCATCAATTTCTTTATACCATGATCACCACCTTCACACTGATGAAGTACTTGCCTAGGAGAGCAGAACCAGGGTTCTGCTGAAGCAGATGCAATACTTCTGTGATAATGGACTACCTTTGAATAAACCAACTCCTCCTCTCTTAAAAGTTCAGCTTAGGTGGAACTGCTAGTTAAAGCTGCACTTAGGAAGCGCATTATGAATGCACTCTTTAGAGAAAGCATACACAGGGAACTGTGGTCATACAGAGCAGGAAGTCTGAATTTTCTCAGAAGTTTACACACACCCTCCAGCTACAAGGATTCTATAGGGATATTTAAAACCATTGTTCTCTTAATGCTATCTATGATTATGAAATATTTACAGCCCATATGTTTTTTGAAATAATGTTTTATATCATCCTAAACCAGTATTAAATACATAATAAATTATTTCTGTACATAAAAAGAATTGATACCTCTCCTATTACAAATACAATGGACATTACAAAAACTGAGATGCCCATAACAAAACACACATCAATGGATGACCAGAATTCCTTTTGACTGACCCCACGCATTAGCAGAAAACATCCAGCCTCTTGGATCAGTACTGGGAACATTCAGTCACTGTTAGGTGACTCAAAGTCTTGCACAAAGAATGAGGAGACAGCAGCATAAAATGAAATAAATTGTTCATTTTATCACAACTCCAGAGTTTAAAATGAAACTCTTACTATTGAACCAAGAGGAGGAAAACTAATTTTCCTCACACAAGCTACCTAGACTTCTCTCAAAGCAACAAGCTCTTTCTCATTAAGATTTTCTCTTTCCAAACGCTATTGTGAGCTCAGAGAAGATTCTGAGTTAGGTTAAACTATTTACTTTCAATTCAGAACTGTCATTTCTCGTTTCCAAAATTAGCATTAAATTACCTCCAAAAAGGAATTAATGGATGAGATAGCATGATTGAGTTATAGTGGCTTAATAAGCTTCTTCAATGCCTTAGAACTTGACCACATCTTAAGGATGGCCCTCACACAAAGGCTATTCCTCCCCAGCCAAATTTCAAGGTTCTGTTCTAACACATGAAGAAATTACAGAAAAGTCAGCAAACTTTTTTTTTTTATGTTGAGAAATTATGCTTTCTTCCTTTGCCTTGTTCTTGAGAACTGTTGTGAGAGTTTGAATGAAATCTAAAATGGAAACAAGATCAGACAGTTGCCCACATCTGCCAGGGAAAATTTCAACCCAAAAATAAATGACAAAGTTAGAGGTGCAGAAGGTATATTCTGCCAGGAAAAAATGAGACTGTTTATGGAGAGCTAGTGCCACCAGTTCGTCCATAATATCAGAAACATTTCAGATAGAGGAAGTGGGGAAGGGGAATCTTATATACAAAGTGTGGGTAGTGCTCTGATACAGTAGGTGTGAATAATGCCGTTCATACAGTAGGGTTAATGCCATGACAAAAGTGTACCCAAGTCTAAAAAACAGTAGGTGTCGGGGGTTGTTTTGTTTTGCTGGTTTGTTTGTTTAATTCCTGTAAACTGGTAAAGAAATTTTGCTTTTAATATCCGCTTGATTCCACTAGAAAATATCTGTGCACCAATTCATCATTTCTTACCTGTGTTCCCATCCCCACTCTCCATTGATGGTTTACTGGTTTCTGACGGATTGTTCATTCTTGAGTCTGCATTAAAATAGAAATAAAGATAAACTAACACAGAAAAAAACCCAAACAAATTATTCATACCTTCTTGTCCAGGGGAAATACAGAATGTCAGAAATTTGATAGGTGCTTTGCCCTAATTCAGATTGTAACACAAAAAGAACGATCAGAAGCAGAACACAATACTGTATCTTCCAGATAAACATTGTTTCAAAATTTTGTATGCCATTATTCCCATGTGTGGAAACATGGTGTTAAGGGAATAAAAGACAGCATGCTGGAGGGCAAAGATAGGTAGGAACTTAATTTTCAGTACAATGAAAGTCATAGAAGCAAAAAGCAGGGGGGAACGACGACTACATCAAGATTCAAAAACATTAAGTATGACCACCATGGCCTACACTATTCTTGTGTTGTTCCACCCCCCCCCCCAAAAAAAATTATAATTAAACTGATGCCATTTTTCTAATACTGCTTTTTTATTTTACGGGAATGTCACTGATACTAGGTTACTTTATATTTCTTATATATTCATGTAAAACCATACAAATAGAAAATAATTCCTCTTCCTTATCCCTCTAGATCAATCTATTGAAAAGTCTGCTCTTGGTTTCAAAGCTTGTCACCTGAATATAGTGCAACACAGAGGGCCTCTCCAGATGGCAGACAGAGAATAGTTTCCTTATATAGGAATCTATACAGATGTTCTCTGTACAGCATCAGCTCTCCAGCTTATTACCTCCTCATTCCTTGCTACTGACCTTAGTGTTCCACATAGTCACAAACCAAAATTACAAAAAGAATCTCAAGACAGACCAGTTCATAAAACGAAGCATAAGCAAATCCTTAAGCACATTCTTCTATTCCCATAATCGGTTAAATGCAAGTTCAATGAGCTCAAAATAAACCCTTTACTCCGGAATATTCTCTTGCTAGGTGCTTAAAAGGTTACCTCTGTCATGTACTTTCATCAAAGCAGTGATTTCCAAAATACCAACGGGCTGAAGAAGAATTCAGTAACAGTATTAACTGCTGCATCTTTCCCCCAGATATTTCTGAGAATGCCCAGATGCTTCACTGCTTGGCAGTCTATAAGAGTTGGAAATGAGAAGACAGACTATTGCCATGTACTATCACCTGCTACTGCCCAGAGACCAGTGCCACCCTCAGGCTATCGGAATCAAGGAGGACACCAGCAGAGGAACACAAGCACAAGGCAGGAGGACCGTGGACAGGGCCCGAATGAAAATCAAAGTGAAGCCTGGCTGGGAGCGCAGGGTGGGAAGAGGAGGGAACTAGTCAGAAATGCAGCATGTGTGAGAGAAAAGATAAGAGACATTAACCTCATAAAGACTCCAACAAGCAGTCAGGAAATACGATGTAACTCTCCACATAAACAACGGCCACAGTTGAACGCAGTAGGGTCTGGAAAACCCAGAAGACTGTAACAAACCGGAATCTTCCCCCAAGTTAACTCAACCTCTCCATAGCCTCAACTCTTCTCAGAAAGTTCCTATGCCTATGCTTAAATCTTTCAAATGTCAGCCGCATGTAAGAGAACTGAACTATCAATGTTACTTTTATTATAAAGGCAGACGTGTTAAACTGCTTTTTGAAAGGGGGAGTGAGGAGAAACTTTCCAGCTGAGTGCTGCTGGCCCACACCTCTGCAAAAGGCTGCAAGTTTTGCCCCATTTTTCACTACCTCTGCTTAGCAGATTCAAGCTATGAATGCATAGTCTTGTCAGAGCTCTGCTAAGGTTGCAGATCCAGAACCTATTGCTTCCTGGCTCCTTATTTTGTCATTTTCCACATTTGGATGGTATGATCCACACTCTAGAAACAAAACATGGGTACCAATGACTGCACAGAAATGTTTGTTGTTGACGGGCCCCTCTCTGCTGATAGATCTGTGTGTAAAAGAAATACAAGGTATGTTTCTGTCTCAAAGTCATATGTGCCTTAAATTAAGTTTATTGTTGTGGCAACAGCACACTTATTTAAAGTGATTATAGGCAACGTTCATTTGATAAACAGCATTAGTTCATTCCTTGACACAGCTGGCTACTGAAATTTAGGTTCAGAGAACAATAAATGGGAGACTTCGCTTTGGACACAAACAGTTCTCATCCAACAGGAAAATGAGCCAAGAGGGCTTAGAAGTCAAATACACTTGGTTGTGGAAACTAGGCTAACTCATGGGACTATTGAACACAGGATGTAGTTTTTAAGCCCAGCGTACAAGGATAGCCTTAACTCATGACAGCACTGATCACAGTACTGAAGAGCACAGGCTGAGAATATGGTCTCAATAGCATGGAAACCATTCACTGAACCACTTCAGAGAGCTCTTGCAAGAAAAACAACACAGGGCCTCCTGTGCTAGTTTGTCGCAGAAACTGAAGTATTAGAGCCACTGTGCAGGATACTAATGGTAGAACAAACAAACTAAACCCAGAGCGGGGACACGACTGTCTTGTGCACAGAACTCCAAGCAACATAGTGACTGTTCCCTCCATATGAGAAGGCTCATACAACAAACCTTCCTGCACAACCAGTAAGTTTGCTCAGGACAAAGTTGTAACTGTATAGACCTCTTTTCACAAAGCAACCAAGACATGTTTTTCTGTCAAGCTATGCTGCAAAATAAATCCTTCTAAAAAAGGCTTTCAGTGTTTCCTAGTACTAGACACACAGAGAAGTTTTAGACATGCTTTTGGTATTTGACTAATGAATATTTTATTGTAAAGATTCATCCCTAACAAAGACCTCAAACACTGCTATTGCGAAAAAGCAGCAAGCTGGATGAAGAAACATCTTTCTGGCACTGCTCAGGTTCAAATGAAGGATAGCATCCATTATTTCATTATTTCTTGCTCAGTCTGCAGGCCTTCTGCATATAAAGCATCAAGAACAATGCTGCTATTTCCATTGCAAATTGTACGACATACATCTGAAGCACAAAACTGCTACCAGCAACACAGACACATATCCAGAGGATACTAAACCTACGGATTCATTAGAGGTCAAATTAAAAGATTATTTGGTTTACATACTCTATCTACTTTAAAGTTAAAAGAATAAACAAATGAAGTGGGCTAAAAAACCCAAACCATAATGCCCTCACCTTTTCTTTTTGCTTTAGATCTTATTTAGGTTTTAAATAAAGGCCCTGGGCTACAACTTCTGCCAACATTATCTAAAAACAAACTCCACAGAAGGAAGGATCGAAAGCAGCAGGTGCATGATTGAAATCAGACTCTCAGGAGTGAATACATTCAGTACTGCTACTCGGCTAGCAGGGCTGAGGGTGTCACAAGGCAGTGCTGTGCCAGGCTCTCTCACCCCCTCCAGTAACATTTCAAAAGGTATTCAGAAGAAAGAAGCAGCCGACGCTGGACCAAGCCGGAGTGTTAGGGACTGCACCTATCTAGTAGAATACAGAAGCTCTTAACATGGAATATATCATTAACTATTTCCTTTCACCCATTAAAGTGAAACTGCCTAATACTCCATCAGCACGAGCAAAAATGATTCATTGCTGCATATGAAAAAAATAAAGTTCAATGTGAGTGAAAACATACCAAGAATTCTTTAGAAGTTAATTTTCAAAAAAACACTTCGTATTCAGACGTCTGCTTTAAAATTTACCATCGAAAAATAGATTCTTACTTTGACATATAAGTTCTTATATGAACTTGCATAATGGAATCAAAAGAAGAATAAGAAAAAAAAATCTATACATTAAGCTTTGGAGGAAGATCCTTGAAAATAAATAAAACCTATTCTAAAATTGGGATGACCCGTTATTATAAATAACTTTAAAAGACATGAAGAAGAAATTATGGCATGTCTGTTTCTGCTGTCCTGATGGAATCTCAGTGCAGGAAATACATTATCCCGGTAACCTTAGGCACAGCTTGCAACGGTATCAATGGCAACCACTGTGCACTCCACCTTATTTTCTATTACGCATGAAGAACCTTGCTATTACATTAAAAATACAGAGACATAATACACATTCTGTTGGGGAACGGCTCAATAGAGCTACTAAATTCTGTGAGACTGGTACTTTCTCTCATTCATTTTAATGCTTTAAAATTCATAACACACAGATATGCAAGCCAAGTCCAGTGTTTGTTAGAACTCAGATGCTTCTCAGATTGAAACCCTAAAAGCAAAAGGTCTGCATTCATATCATCCAAGCCTAGGAGTAAATCTCTCCAGTGCAGAGGAAATTCTCCTGGAGCAAGGGAGAGAAGAAGAAAAAACAAAAAACAAACCATGTATTTCCCTGGTACAGATCTATCTATCTACCAGGCAGCTACTTGCTGCCGATTAACCAGTGAGTTTCAACCTTACAAATACTTTCTCTAGCCTCTGCATATGTGATTAAGCCTCTATGCATAGTCAACCTCACAGCCTCTATTTCCATATTAAACGCTCATAAGAAAGAGCTGAGCTGGTACCCACCTAGAACGTAGTCGCTGCAGTCCAGCATTGCTGTGGTATCCTCTACAGGTTCAGACAGTCCAAGGAAAGGGAGAATGGCAATTTCTATCAAATCTACACTACTGCTCTCGACCGAACACGAAAGGGAGTGGGGAGGTGGGGGAAGAAATACAACTTCAGTTACACCATAGCAATCTTCAACTGAACAGGGAAACTTCAGTTGCTCTGTGGAGTTTTAGTCTCTCCTACTAGCTGTGTCTGACATTGTCAAGGCGACTGAAGCGTGAAAAGTTCCCCTTTTTGTAATAAAATAGAAACAAAGATTGCAGCTGGCAGTTTCCATAATGAAGCTTAATCAGTATGCGCCTGATTAGGGCCTTATGCAAATCTCCTCTCGTTAGCACAGCAGCCAGCACTTTGAAGTCCATGAACAATTCATTTGCAGAGTACACTGAAAGCACTCCCTGCATAATTTAAATCATGGTATAAATATTTATCAGCTCATTTGCATATTAATTGGCAGTGCATGAAGGGAAAAATTATCTCCCGAGTGCCAGCATAATAATTAGGGAACAAAATGAATTTTCTTCCAATACTTTGGCTTCTCAGCCCTAACTCAAGCACAGTACCACAGGGGAGCAGGGAGGGGAAGAGACAGTTCTGTTCAAATGCCACTGAAATGACACGTACAAATTAGAAACAACTCTACAGGCTTAAGCACCTTTAATCTTATTCCT